CTGTCTGTTCATTTCACTGCTAAACATTTAGACAATCCTTGAATTCCACTATTAGTGCTTAATCTTACCCTCAACTTTTGTGCTTCTCTTTTGCCACATGTAACTAAGGGGTGTGAGGGGGAAGCATTCATGGCTCTCTATTGTTAATCAAAAGGAATGGTGGAAATCAAGCTTTTTTCATTAGGTAAGCACAGTCCCTGTTTCTTTTGTAGAAACACTTCCCTTTATTTCACTTCTACAGTGCTATGACTTAAAGATGCAAAAGTGTAAAAATAGCTAACCAATGAGTGTGGAATCATTGGTTAATATGCATTTATGCACCTGCCCCTCCTGAAATTTTTACCACTTACACATTTTAGCATTCCTCACTATTCAACTTATGGCCATTTGAGTTAAGTGACATTTTATGATTAGTTTAGCAATAAAGCTGTTCTGATCAATTATAAAAACATAACTAGATTCCTTAAAGGAAAGATGGAGAAGATATCATAGGCAGTTCTTCCAGTTTAACTTGACTATCCCACTGAAACTGCTACTCATTGTAGTTCTTTGAAGCACCCACACATCTGTAGCACTTGAACTGCAGTGATTTTTACTGAAGTCAGTAAAGCCACAAATTGTCAAAATAGGATGTTAATTTATGTGGGGCCTATGAAAAGCTGATGTAATTTTACTGTGTAGTGAGTGTAACATCCCCAGAACACAGCTCCACACAGAAGGCAACTTAAATTCAGTTATAGTACTTTCCTATCAAAATCAATCCTGTTTGAAGATTAGCTCCACCTAAATAAGTCTTCCCCATTTAGAGGATGCCCAAGATTACAGCCTCTTAAATCTGAATCCTTAGGTGTGAGGTTAGAAAAAAGGAGCTATTTTACCCATCCCTCCACCTCACTACACTTAACTAATACTGACTGAAGGCAGCATGATGTACATTCCTAGAAGGAAAATAAATTTACAACACTGCAAATCTGAGTTTTTTATTAACAGATACATTTACTTGTCTTCTGGTTTGTTGAAGCAGTATGTCAGACAGCACTTGCCACAGTAATGTCTGTCAAAGTGACTGGCCATGAAGACTCCAGCCCCACATTCCTCAGAGGGGCACTCTCGGCGCAGACGACTGATTTTACCATTCTCATCCACCTGTAAAAGGAGAAGCTCCATAATGTTGCATCTTTTTAGATATATCTTCCCTCAAAGAAAAACCACAGAATAGCCATTAATTAGAAATCAGGACTCTCTCTGTTGTAAACATGATTTAGCATTCCAGGTTTCATATTGACAAATGTATTGGCTGCATTAGTGAAAGTTGAATAGCTACATAAGCTACTCAAAGATTTGAGGAAATGTATTGCTTGTACAAGTTCTGTGCCTTTTCCAGTTACTTACATATGTAGAGGTAAAAGCTAGCTGGAAACTACATCTTACAGATTCAGTAAACACACAGGGGAGAAAACATTTAATACCTACTAGGGATGTCAGTGTGTAGTTGACCACACACACGCACACACACACAAATAAAAATCAGTAGGTCTGGAATCCTATTGACTACACCCATTTCCTCCTCTTGCTGCCTCTATCAGAATCAGCAAAGGTGGGGGGAGGGAGAGGCAGGAGCTCTGTGCCAGCTCTGCAGAGCTGCCTTCCTCCTCCCCAGCCCTCCTCCTGCTTCTCAAAGAGGCAGCAGAGGGCTGGCATGAGAGAGAGAGAGAGAGAAAAAAATCAGACACTTGGGAGAAGCCATCTCCCAGCAAGCACCAGCTCCCTCCTGCCACCCTTAATGTAAACATGTAACTGCTAAAGTGTCAAGCAGTTATACATTTACACATACCCAATGGTTAACATCCCTAGTACCTACATGCTTATTCATAGTGATGCTACAGTTCAAACTTCACCTTCTCGCAAGGAGACAAGTTGACTCAATGATTTTAATTACTCTTACCTTGTAATATTTAAGTACAGCAAGCTTAACCTTCTTTCTCTTATGCTTGTTCTTTTTGGGGGTAGTGTAAGACTTCTTCTTTCTCTTCTTAGCACCACCACGAAGTCTCAGCACAAGGTGAAGAGTTGATTCCTATTAGAAAAACAAAGATAATATAGTAGAATTAAACAATCTGATCCCAAAATATTCAGGTTAGTAAGTAGTAGCAGCTTTCAACCAAAATTTTTTACTACTACATACACAATGACTTGTATCACCAGTACACACTAAATCCAGCTACCCAGGACTAGAACTTAGAGAAATTTTGAGCAGTGTCAAGTGATCAATGAATCTGCCATTGATCTAAGCTCGTGTATGCTCTCAAAGAGACTAGATAATTGCAATATATTTCATTTGTTCTACTTATTTCCTAAAAAAACTGTCAATACACTAAGCTGGAAATGTTGCCATAGCTCTCATTATAATATGCCTATAGTTCTGGGTTTAGCTCAAGTTACTCAACAAATGTGCTCCAGCCAATCTGGAATACTATTACACTCCCCTTCCTATAGCAACCGAGCTGCCTCTTGTGTCAGGGTTCTTCACCAGAGAATTGTAATCTACCCTGTTGTGAGTTAAAAATCGCACACACACACACAGAACTTCTGGAACTCTGCATTATACTGTATCCAATCTCTAAAAGATACACACCTTTTGAATATTGTAGTCAGACAGCGTCCGTCCATCTTCCAACTGTTTGCCAGCAAAAATAAGTCTTTGTTGATCAGGAGGAATTCCTAATGGAAAAGGTAAATCAAAATTAGATAGAAATCTACTCAAACTTATGCTGACTACAGAAATAAAAACCAAGATAGATGGACGGCAGGGCATGAAGATATCTAGTAACCATAGAAAATGTTTCAAAATTAAGTATCACTTATAGAAAAATTCTGTAATGTGTCCGATTCCTGGGAAATGGTAACAGGTAAGCTATTCTTTATCCAAAGAATTGTCAGAGTAGAGAACACAGGAATCCAAAAAGAACTGAATTTACCTTCCTTATCCTGGATCTTGGCCTTCACATTTTCTATAGTATCAGAAGGCTCAACCTATTAAAGCAAAAAACCAGTTACAACTCTGAAGTAGAATTAAATTAGCTATATAAATCTATGAAATGTTGCCGTTAAAGCTACAGACCAGATAGTCTAAGAGGCATCACATCGATCTCATTTCTTTGCTGTGACATTGTCACTTGTACAAAAACAGAAGCCAGACTTTCAAATTTTGGACCCAAATTTAAGTCTTTCAAGCAACAGGTAGAAATAGTTTGGAGATTTAGCTGAAGCACAAGAAACATTTGAATGTGCTGTTTAAGTGGTTAACCGATTAAATGGGGTAGGCACAGGGGCAACTATAGCCCTTACGCCACTGACTGCGCTAGGGGCTACTCCAGATGACACAAATAGAGGGCCAGTTCTGTCGTCCTCGTGGGGCTAGAGCAGCCCCTTGCCCGTCACAAGCAGGGAACTGCTCCAGTCCCCACTATTGATCCATTTGGTTAAGCATCAGCTATTGAGGGTAACGATAAGCGGTTAACCTCTCACATCCCTGTGGGGAAGCAGATGACGACGACGACTTTATACAAGTTTGCCCATTGATGAGGCTGCGTTATATTTTCAGACCATTTAACGGATACATGTGACCGTCCAGTGCCTAAGGGGCAGCTCCTGGCAGAAAAGGGGAGACGTGACCCACACGAACGGGCAGGCAGCGAGCCCGCTTTTACACCCCGCCTGGACCCGCGGGAGCCTGACAGAGCGCCGGGGGGTGGGGAGGCGAGGGGCTGGCTATGCCCGGCCGAGAGGCTTGGCGTGTTCCTGCTGGGCTCCCAAAGGCCGGGGCGGCGGCGCGCTCCCTGGACCCTGCGGCGCTTCAAGCCCCCGCCCCGCACCCAGGTCCGCGTGCGCGTGGGGCCGGCTGTGGGGGAAGGGCGGGCTGCCCCGACCCCGCACAGGGCGCGTGGAGAGGCGGGGGGGTTGTGGGGGGGGGGGGGG